GCAGTCGGTTAAGCGTCCGACTTCAGCCAGGTCACGATCTCACGGTCCGTGAGTTCGAGCCCCGCGTCAGGCTCTGGGCTGATGGCTCGGAGCCTGGAGCCTGTTTCCGATTCTGTGTCTCCCTCTCTCTCTGCCCCTCCCCCGTTCATGCTCTGTCTCTGTCTGTCCCATAAATAAATAAAAAAAAACGTTGAAAAAATAAAATGTCAATGCCATTAATGACAAAGCAGGCTGAGGAACTATTTCAATTAAGCTTAGTTCACTTTAGTTTAAGGAAACAGAAATATAACAACAAAATGCGATACATGATCCTAGCCTGGGATCTTGTACTGGAGAGGGGAAATGCCACCGTGGGCACTATTGGGACAATTGACAATTTTGGAATATGGACTTTAAAGTATAATGTCAATGTTAAACTTCCCGCATTTGATAATTGTACTATGGCTACTTAAGATAATGTTTTTGTTCTTAGGAAATATGCACCAGAGTATTAAGAGATAAAGGGGCATATTGTATAAAACCCACTCTCAGATGGTTCAGGAAAAAAATGTCATAGTATGTATATAAAAGAATGATAAAGAAAATTTGTCAAAATGTGAAAAATTAATACACTTAGGTAAAGAGCATATTGGGGCGCCTGGGTAGCTCAGTCGGCTGAGTGGCCGACTTCGGCTCAGGTCATGATCTCACAGTTTGTGAGTTCGAGCCCCGCGTTGGGCTCTGTGCTGACAGCTCGGAACCTGGAGCCTGCTTCCGATTCTGGGTCTCCCTCTCTCTCTGCCCCTCCCCCTCTCATGCTCTGTCTCTCTCTGTCTCAGAAATAAATAAACATTAAAAAGGTTTTTTTTAATAAAAAAAGAGCATATTGAAGTTCTATGTAACTATTTATGCAGCTTTTCTGTAAGTTTCAAATTATTTCAAAATGAAAAGGTTTTTTTTTTTTTTTTTAAGGTACATAAACAGAAGAGAACCAGCCAGATAAGGACCTAAGGTACATAAGAAAAGTTCCAAGTATTGAGTCAAATTCTGACCTTACTGTAGCTTGCTCCTTTTCATCTAGTTTCTTAAAAAGGCTCTTACCATCAACCTCAAGAGCTACAATTTCATAGGTGCCCCACGCAGCTTTTAGCCCCTCGGCCCATGGCCTCCCTATGAAGGTACCACTTTCCTTCCCTAGCTGTGTGGAGTCTGGCCACTTGAACATTTAGACTGCTTTAAACCAAAACCAAAACCAAATCAAAACCAAACAAAACCTATTCCAACATTGCAACCCACCCAGGTAGGTATTCTCAACATCCTTATTTGCTGTTCGATGCAAAATACAACTTCTCCAGGCCAAGGGCAAGATGGATGTCCGAACCTGTGCATGACTTCCTTCTTCCCACAAGCAGTAAATCCACAGCCTATAATTAATAAAACGGCCCTAACACCCTCACACCTGTGATTTATGTACACACGACAACAGAAGCAGGCTAGGTCCGTGGTGAAGAACCGAAGAAAGATGGCCTGAATTTGGCTTTGACTCCACCACTTAGAAGTTACGTGGCTGAGAGCAAGTCGATTACTACCTGGAGCTCATGAGGCATCTGGTAAGTATCAGACTCCATTTTAGGAAGCAGCTCCCAGAGCTTACATTCTAGTCGGATGAGGCAGAAAATAAATAAATAAATAAATATATTGATAGAAGATAGATAGACAGACAGATAGATAGATAAACTGAAATATAGATTATGCCAGATACTGACCCATGCCATGGAGAAACATAAGGCAGGTAACAGAATAGCAGATGCAAGAACAGAAGGTGCAAATGTAATTTTTTAGTAGAATATTCAAGCAAAACTTCCCGAAGGAGATGACAACTGAACACAAATCTAAAGTCCACGAGGGTGCAAACCGCATAGAAAGATGAATTTTGAGGCAAAACGGGATAGCAGGTGCAAAGGCCCTGGGGCAGTGACATGCCTCGGGTGAGGGATGACTTCTTAAGTCTCAAGCTCTTTGAAGGCAGCAAAAGGAATTACACATAGCAGGAGCTCTGTATAAATGGTGACGGGAGAGAGAGAGAGCAGGAGGGAGACTGCCATATTGTATCCAGAGATTTAGAGGCTGAATTTCTTTTTTCGTGAACAAATCTAAGTTATTTATTTAAGCCATCTCCTGCCATAAGCAAAGGGATGAAAGATCGGTGTACGGGTCATCATTTGATACAAGTAAGGAAGGTGAGCTAAAGGTACCATATACTGTTCTGGTCCGTGTGCAGAGTCATGGTCTGAACCAGGGCTGTGGTCCTCACTGGGTAGTGGTCCTCTTCACAGCAGGTCAGAAGTGGATTCACGTGAGAGTTACGGAATAGAGAGTACGATTACCATCTCCCCATGGAAAGGGCTTGGACCTGATACGGAGATGGGGGTAGGCGACGAACTGGGGTCTCTCGTGTCCTCTGTGATGCGACTTCAGGAAGATGTTCAGCCTGCTCACCCTCATGTCGGGAAGAGCTATGAAGTAGGTGAGGGCCTTCCACATTCAAGCTGAGCCCTCCTCGCCATGGGTGTCCCTCGACATGTACCGACCTAGCAGCCCCCCCCCAAAAAAAGGTTGAATTTTTTAAAAAATATTTATTTATTTTTGAGAGGGAGGAGGGGCTGGAGGGGATAGGATCTGAAGCAGGCTGTGCACTGACAGCACAGAGCCTCGTGTGGGGCTTGAACTCAACTGGTGGGATCATGACTTGAGCGGAAGTCAGAGGCTTAACCCACTGAGCCACCGAGGTTGAATTTTGGGAATAGGAAAGTAGGGGCACCTGGCTGGTTCAGTGGGGTGGAACATGTGACTCCTGATCTCAGGGTTGTTAGTTCAAGGCCACATTGAGTATTCAGCTTACTTAAAAAAAAAAAAAAAGATAGTAGAAGCATTAGCTTATAAAGCTAATGGAGAAAACCTGGTGATCAACTGATTCTAGGTCTTATCTTTCCAACCTTCTCTTAAAAATATTTCTCAAATGGAGATGATTTAAGGATTTTGAAGTCTTTGTTTTTGCTTTCTAGCTTTGTTTTGAGTTGAAAATAAGGATTTTTTTTTTTTTTAGTCTGCTTTTTTACTAAGCTTAAGACATTTTGCAGATATGTAGAACTCTTTAAGAATAGGGATTAGAGGGGCACTTGGGTGGCTCAGTCAGTTAAGCCTCCGACTTTGGTTCAGGTCATGATCTCCCAGTTTGTGGGTTCAAGCCCCACATTGGGCTCTCTGCTGTCAGCACAGAGCCCACTTTGGGTCCTCTGTCCCCCACCCCCACCTCTCAGCCTCTCCTGCACGCTCTCTCTCAAAAATAAATAAACATTTAAAGAAAAAAAAAAAAAGAATAGGGCTTAGAGTTCAAATTATTAATACTCTCAAGCAACTTTATTATTTGGAAGAAGTTAAATACCATTTATAGAGTAACAAGTTTATAAGGGAATTATTAGTAATTTCTGAATAGAAAGGCTTTTTCCCCAGGCCAAATTGTCAAGAGAATTGGGTCTGCGATTTGGATGTTCTTTTGCTATGTTTTGTACCATCTGTATTTGCCTCTTCAAATAACTTTGGATGATTTTTACATGACCACATTATTGTTCTCATAAACGGTATTTTTAGGAACTGGAAATCTGTCACTCGTCCTTAATAATTTGGGTAGCGCTGTTTCCTTTTACCCAACCTGCCAACATGGGCCGCGTTGGCACCAAAGCCGTGAAGAAGGCAGCCCAGGTCATCACGGAGAAGTACGACACGGGTAGCTACGTCCGCACCGGCAACCGAGTGTGCAAGGAGATGGCCACTATTCCCAGCAAGAGCTCTGCAACAAGAGAGCAGGCTGTCACGCATCAGATGGAGCACATTCAGAGAGGCCCAGTGAGAGGGCTCTCTGTCAAGCTGTTGAGAGAAAAGAGAGAAAATTATGGTCCTGAGGTCTCAGCCCCGGATCAGGAGAGCACGGAGGTAGATCCTCACACCAAGGAAATATTGAAACCCTTGCACTTTGCCAGTCTGTCCGACCTGCAGGTCACTTGGCCTATGGTTGGGATGTGTTTCAAAACACCACGTGGAGGGGCGCATGGGTGGCTCAGTCGGTTAGGCGTCCGACTTCAGCTCAGGTCACGATCTCAGGGTCAGTGAGTTCGAGCCCGGCGTCCAGCTCTGGGCTGATGGCTCAGAGCCTGGAGCCTGCTTCCAATTCTGTGTCTCCCTCTCTCTCTGCCCCTCCCCCGTTCATGCTCTGTCTCGGTCTCAAAAATAAATAAATGTTAAAAAAAAAAATTAAAAAAAAAAAACAAAAAACGCCACGTGGAGCCCTTTGAATCTTTCTGCTGGGCTGTGAGATCTTCAATAAACCTTGGACAACAAAAACAAAACAACTTATGTAGCTAATTGTCTCTTTCCCGAAAAGTGACTGAAAAGCAACAGTAGTCCAGGATTGTAAGTGTGAGATGGATGTTTTGTTGCTGGGCTCCTTTCTTTTTCTTTTCTTTAAAAAAAAAAAAAAAAATTTTTTTTAATGTTTTTATTTTATTTTTGAGACAGAGAGAGACAGAGCATGAGCAGGGGAGGGGCAGAGAGAGAGGGAGACACAGAATCTGAAGCAGGCTCCAGGCTCTGAGCTGTCAGTGCAGAGCCCGATGCGGGGCTCGAACTCATGAACTGTGAGATCATGACCTGAGCTGAAGTTGGACGCTTAGCCGACTGAGCCACCCAGGGGCCCCTCTTACACCTGCCTTTAGAAAAAAAATTCCCATTCTCTATTATCTGGTTGAAAAGTAACAAACTTCAAAACATACCAAAAAATATAGTTGAAGTTTTAACTTTATTATTTCCCTATTATAAAAGTAATGCATATTCATTATATAATAAAAGGGGGGAGCACAAAAGGTATAAAGAATTTAATTATAAATTACCTATAATCCCATCCCAGGGAAAACTATTAACATTTGGCATATTTTATTTTATCAGTTTTTTCCCTATGTGTGTTTGAACATAGCTCAGCTATCACTATATATAAAGTCCTGTATCCAGCTTTTTCAATATAACATTAAATTAAAATCATTTTTTCTCGTATCAATAAAAATCGTTTGTTGGGGCGCCTGGGTGGCGCAGTCGGTTAAGCGTCCGACTTCAGCCAGGTCACGATCTCGCGGTCCGTGAGTTCGAGCCCCGCGTCAGGCTCCGGGCTGATGGCTCGGAGCCTGGAGCCTGTTTCCGATTCTGTGTCTCCCTCTCTCTCTGCCCCTCCCCCGTTCATGCTCTGTCTCTCTCTGTCCCAAAAATAAATAAACGTTGAAAAAAAAAAAAAAAAAAGAGAAAATCGTTTGTAAACATAATTTTAGCGACAGAGTAACATTCCGTCATGTGGGTGTACTGTAGTTTAAATAGTCTTCTAATACATATATATATATATATTTTGTTTATTTATTTTGAGAGAAAGAGCATGAGCAGGGGAGGGGCAGAGAGAGAGAGAATCCCAAGAAGGCTCCGCACTGTCTGCGTGGAGCCCAGTGCGGGGCTCAAACTCATAAACCATGAGATCATGACCTGAGCCAAAATCAAGAGTCAGATGCTTAACTGACTGAGCCACCCAGGCATCCCAACAGCAAATATTTCATAGAAGAGTCAGTGGGTCAACACATATAAACATTGTTAAGATCACTCTGCTCTTGATAACACAGGAAGGGAATACACACAGACAGTGAGGGTGAGGGGGGGTGTCGAGGCCAGCAGCAAGGAGGAGGCTCAGAGGTCCTGGCCTAGCCGTTCCAGCTCATTGAGAAGGAAGTCCATATCGGCCCGGGTCAGTGCAGGGTTGGCCACAACCATACGGAAGAAGTTGCCCCGGGTCCCATGGGGCTGGTAGCCAATCATCATGGAGCCCTCCTTCACCATGCGCTCCTTGAGTACTGGGGCCACCTGTGGAAGGGGTGAAGGGAACTTCCAGCTACAGCCTCAGGTCAGGCTCCCCGAGATGTCTTTCCCTCTCACTCAACCACCTTCCAGAGGGAGTCCTCATTGCTCAGCTCCTGACCTTGGCCCCAGTTCACCTCTTCCACTGCATCCAACCTGCTTGGTCTTCTCTAGCTTCTGTATCATTTCCTACCTTACCTATCTCCAAGTTGTCACACAGGCCATTTTCTGCCAAATCCTGATTGTTCCCTGACTCCCAACACTGCTCTAGTCCAACATCTAGCCTTCATCGTCTTTAACACCTTCTTCTCTCTCTGAATTCCCGGAATGGTTGTGATCTGTACCTTGTGATCTACTGTGTAATTTACAAGATTGCATCAAACATATTGGTTTCAAATAGGTAACTCTAATTTTCGAAATCACTCCTCAAAGGCAAGAACATTCTTGTCCTTTCAGACCATCTGCAGCATCTAGTACCAATCTATCCTTAGGGACCAGGACATGACATATCTCCTTTCCTCTAGGAGGCCTGTCTGGACTGGCCTTATAGAGTTGTTCTGCCCCCAGCATCAGTGAATAAGGCCTCAAGCGTCTGTCCTGGGCCTGAGCACCCAGCAGAACTCCCACAGACTACGTACCGCACACTGGTGACTTCTCCCAGAACATCTCTCTCTGTCTTCCTTTTGCCTTCCAAAAACATACCTTATTCCCCATCCCCACCCCCACAGAAATGAGGACAAGCTGGTGACCTTTCACAGTTCACGTCCCCACCTCAGGAGCAAACTAGCAAAGGGACCTGCTATGCCATTCACAGCCAGCAGGGGGCAGACACACACCAGATGCCTCACCATTCCCTCAACTGAGCTAACCAGAGCCAGAAAAGAGAGAACCTACCTTAGCCAGCCTTTCACTGTAATCTGGATTCTCCTGCTTCCCCCGCAGGCTGGGGGGCACGAACCAGAAACACACGTTGACGAACTCAGGCTGGGAGGAATGAGGGAGGAGAAGGTGTGGGCTGTGGAAGGGGGGATGATCCCCTCTCACTGCCCCTCTTCTGCATCAGGGCTTTTTGTGTGGGACAGACTGGGGGCGGGGGGAGGGCGGGGGGGGGGGCAGAGGGATGCCAAAGAGCAGACTTGGTCATACCTCTATAACCAACTCAAATCCTTCTCGCTTTTTCAATTCCTCCACCAGGTACCTGGAAACAGAGAGGAAGAAATCACAAATGGAGGAGGAAAAAAGCAGAGATACAGGAACAGAAGAGACCCAGAGAATGGGCCAAGAGACCCTGAGGGCAAGAAAAATGTGAGGTGCAGGGGTGAAGGCGTGGGAGCAGGGGTGGGACAGGACAGGACTGGACAGGGACCCCGGGAGAGAGGAACCCAGACCGCCGCCACTCCTACCAGGCAAGGGCAAAGGCCCGGTCCACACGCCGCTCCAGCCCCTGCCCGCCCTGCGCCTTCCACATGAGCCACAGCTTCAGACAGTCCACACGGCGGCCGCACTGCACCACCTTGTCTCCGGTGTCCAGAGCCACGTCATAGAACTTGTCCTGCTGGAAGAGGTAGCTGGCCTGGGAGCCATGGCAGCGCCTGAGCAGGTTCTGTCGGTGGGGAGAGCAGGGGGGAGGACTGTCAGACCCCACCCTCCCCACCAAGGCTCCCTCTGGAGCCGCACAGGGGGGCTTCTTAGCTCAGCCCAACCCTCTGTCCCTGGCACCAGGCAGAACTCCTGAGATGGCTGCCAGCTGACTCAGGCCCCTTTCTCCGGGTGTTCTCCCAACACCCGGAGTTCTCCCCAAACTCGGCCCAGGAGCCCTTCAATTACAACCTCAAGCTGGACACATTTTCCTTTGCATGAAGATGCGCCGCAGTGGGGGCGGGGGTGGGGAAGAACTGCAGGGGATTCGGTGGTCGAAGCTACTCAGCTTCAGACGGGACGGTGAGAAGGACACAGCAAGGCCACGACCCTCTCTGACTTGGGACAGGGAGGAAGACAGAGGTCCAGGGTGAGAGGTAGGGTGAGGACAGGGGCGGGGCAGACCCACCGAGGTATCGCGGAGAAGAAGAGCTGAGCACTGCAGGCCTGCCGCGAGGAGTTTGTGGGGATTCCAGGCCACGGAGTCAGCCCTGGGGTGGGCACAGCAAAGCCGGATCAGCCGGCTCCTCCTCAAGCTGCCCAACCAGAGCCCCCCCACCCCCGCTGCTCCCCCTACTCTTCCACATCTCCAGTAAAGGGGCTTTAGTCTCATGTCAGCCCAGCAGTCTGCTCTCCAATCCCCCTTCCCCCAACCCCCTTCCCTCACTCCCATCGGAAGCTCCCTAGTCCAGGACTAGTCTCTGGAGCAAGGATTTGAACGGTGGGATTCAGGAAGTAGGTGGCCGTATGCACCTCTGGATCCCATCCAGGAGATGTCTATGTGTCTGTGACAACAGGACGCTCCCACCCCAGGCAGCCTGTGGAGCAAAAGGAATAACATGGGCCTTGGCCTTGGCTCGGCCCACCCCACCCTCAGGCCTCAGTCCCACTCACATCCACGTGGAGCCACAGCCCGTGACGCTGGCACACATCAGCAATTGCCTCCAGGGGGTCAAAGGCCCCCAGCACAGTAGTGCCAGAGGTAGCACTAACCAGGAATGGCACAGCGCCCTGTGGCAGAAAAACAGAGGGGAAAGAGGCTGTGAAGGTATCGCAAAAGCTTCCAGAGGGGCGCCTGGGTGGCTCAGTCGATCAAGCATCCAACCCTTGATATGGGCTCAGGTCGTGATCTCCTGGTTTGTGAGATGGAGCCCCTTGTCCGGCTCTGTGCTGACAGTGTGGAGCCTGCTTGGGGTTCTCTCTCCCTCTCTCTCTGCCCCTTCCCCACACACTCTCTCTCTCAAAATAAATAAATAAAAACATTTTTAAAAATTGGGGCGCCTGGGTGGCTCAGTCAGTTAAGTGTCCAGTTTTGGCTCAGGTCATGATTTCACAGCTTGTGAGCTCAAGCCCCATGTCGGGCTCTGTGCTGACAGCTCGGAACCTGGAGCCTGCTTTGGATTTTGTGACTCCTTCTCTTTCTCTCTGCCCCTCCCCTGCTTGTGCTCTCTCTCTCTCTCTCTCAAAAATAAACAAACATTAAGAGGAAAAAAAAAAAAAGCTACCCAGAGCCTGGTGACGAGGCCATCTCGAAACTCTTATTGCAATGCCTGACCTAGGCCCTTTCAACCTTACAAAATGTTACTGTCTTCCTTAATATCCAAGTGAGGACACCGAGATCCAGAGCTGTGAAGAAATTTACCCCCAAGCTGAAGCTCCAGAGATGGAATTCAATCCTAGGTCTATCTGCTGGTCTATTTCCAAAGCTCATATGCTTTCAGAAAATGTTAATGTCTTACTGGAAGATCAAAATGGTATTTATAAAATTCTAACACTACAAAAGTTGTGAAGAAATTGAATTTCTATTTAAAAAAATTTTTTTTAATGTTTATTTATTTTTGAGACAGAGAGAGACAGAGCATGAATTGGGGAGGGGCAGAGAGAGAGGGAGACACAGAATCTGAAACGGGCTCCAGGCTCTGAGCTGTCAGCACAGAGCCCGATGCAGGGCTCGAACTCACAGACCGCGAGATCACGACTTGAGCCGAAGTTGGACACTCAACCGATTGAGCCATCTAGGCGCCCCTGAATTTCTATTTTAAAAAAATACCACCAAGAAAAGCCCAGGCCTATATGGCTTCACTGATGAATTCTATAAAACATCTGAAAAAGAACTGATACCAGTTCTTCACAAAAAGTCCAAAAAACAGAAGAGGAACACTTCTGAATTCATCCTGTTACCAAAACCAGATAAAACATCACAAGAAAACCACAGGTGATATCTCTTTGAATATAGACACAAGACCTACAAAACACTAGCTAATCAAAATCAGCAATGTATAAGGGGCACCTGGGTGGTTCAGTCAGTTAGGCATCTGACTCTTGATTTCAGGTCGGATCATGATCTTGCAGTTCATGAGTTCGAGCCTCACGTGAGGCTCTCTGCCATCAGCACGGAGCCTGCTTTGGATCCTTGGTCTCCCTCTCTCTCTGCCCCTCCCACGCACTCTCTCTCTCCCAAAAATAAATTTAAAAACATTAAAAAAAATCAGCAACCTATAAAAAATTATACATTATGACAAAATTGATTTGTCCCAGGAGTTCAAGCTCAGAGTAGCACCCAAAAAACCAATTAATGTAATACAAGTATCAACAAAATAAAGGAAAAAAATACATCTCAATAGACACAGAAAAACATTCGGCAAAATCCAACACTCCTGCTTGATAAAACTACTCAACAAACTAGAAGGTGATGGGAATGTTCTCAACCTAATAGAGGGCAACTACAAAAAAAACCCAGCTAACATCGTACTCAATGCTAAAAGACTGAAAGCCTTCCCCCCATGATCAGGAACAAGACAAGGATGTCCACTCTCCCCACTTC